ACAACAGGTTTGCCTTGAGACAATCCCAAGTACCAGTATAGGTTGGGGACTGACCTGTTGGAGAGCAGAGTAGGGGGAAGGGACCTGGGGGTCCTGGTGAACAGCAGGATGAGCATAAGCCAGCACTGTGCCTTTGTGGCCAAGAATGCCAATGGCATCCTGGGGTGTATTAGAAGCGAAGCGGTTAGTAGGTCAAGAGAGGTTCTCCTCCCCTACTCTGCCCTGGTGAGACCACATCTAGAATACTGTGTTCAGTTCTGGGCCCCTCAGTTCAAGAATAACAGGAAACTGCTTGAGAGAGTCCAGCACAGAACCACAAAAATTATTAAGGGAGTGGAGCATCTCCCTTATGAAGAAAGGCTGAGGGAGCTGGGTCTCTTTAGCTTGGAGAAGAGGAGGCTGAGGGGTGACCTCATTATAATGTCTATAAATATGTAAAGGGTAAGTGTTGGAGGATGGAGCCAGGCTCTTCTCAGTGACATCCAATGATAGGACAAGGAGCAACAGGTGCAAGCTGGAACACAGGAGGTTCCACATAAATATGAGAAGAAAAACTTCTTCACAGTGAGGGTAACAGAACACTGGAACAGGTTGCCCAGAGAGGTTATGGGGTCTCCTTTTTTGGAGACATTCAAAACCCACCTGGACACATTCCTGTGACCTTCCTGGAAGAACATGGAGCTGTTGAAGCCAGTCCAGTGGAGGGCAATAAAGATGATCAGAGGGCTGGAACACTTCCCCTATAAGGACAGGCTGAGAGAGCTGGGTCTCTTCAGCCTGGAAAAGAGAAGGCTCTGAGGAAACCATATAGTGGCCTTCTAGTACCTGAAGGGGGCCTACAGGAAAGCTGGAGAGTGACTTTCTAGAAGGGCAGGTAGTGACAGGATGAGGGGAATTGGTTTTAAACTGAAAGAGGGTAGATTTAGACTAGATATCAGAAAAGAAATTTTTTACTGTGAGGATGGTGAGAAACTGGAACAAGTTGCCCGGAGAGGTTGTGAATGACCCCTCCCTGTAAGCATTCAAAGCCAGGCTGGATGGGTCTGTGAATAACTTGGTCTAAAGGAAGGCATCCCTACCTATAGTAGGGGAGTTGGAACTAGATAATGGTCCTTTCCAACCCAAACCATTCTATGATTAAGGGCCTGGAGCATCTCCCATATGAGGAAAGGCTGAATAACCTGGATCTGTTCAGCCTGGGGAAAAGACAACTGAAAGGGGATCTGATAAACATTTATGAGTATCTGAAGGAAGATGGGAGGCCAGGCTCTTCTTGGTGATGCATAGCAATAGGACAAGGAGTAATGGCCTAAAACTTGAACATACAAAGTTCTGTACTAACATATAGAAGAACTTCTTTACAGCAAGGGTGATGAAGCAGTGGAACAGGTTGCTCAAAGAGGTGGTGGAATATCCTTCTATGGAGATATTCAAGACCCTTCTGGATGCCTACCTGTGTGACCTATTGTAGGGTACCTGCTTTAGCAAGGGAGATAGACTTGATCTCTTGAGGCCCCTTCCAACCTCTACAATTCTGTGTGAAATTGCTATCTCGTATTAAGACCAGCTTTCAAGAATGTACGCAATGAGAAGGGTATTTGGTGCAAGAAGCCACTTTCTGCTTAGGAAAAAAAGGAACTATAATGTACCCTAGCCAAATACTTTCCAGATGGAGCATACTAAGCACATCTCTTTTTACCTACAGAGAATTAAGTTCTGCTTAAGTGCTTCGTGTCTTGATCTTTCTATATTTCTTCCAGAACAAGAGATGCAATTCACTTGGCACCAATGTTTCACTTTCACATTCTGTTCTACCTAGAGCTTATTATTGCCCTTCCTCGCTCATTAAACTTTCCTGTTACTAGCTAATATGTATTTACTTCTATTCAAGCTTGCAACAGAATACTTTCAAGAACACACACAAAAATGCTTTGCTTAACTTTGAGTCAGTTTCTCAGAGTATTGCTATGAAGTTTTTATGCTTATACTTACTTGCTATCCAGATGAATGTTATCTGTGATATTTAACCTAGAACTACTAAAAATAATCCAAAACAGTGATTTCAAATAATGCAAAGTTGAAGAGTAGACTTTGCTGTAATGATTACACAAATTATGACATCAAGCAAGATTAGCTTAATGCTTATGTCCGTCTATGACCTTCATTGTACTTGGTACTAGCACAGATTTATAGATTCAGAGGTCATGAACATAGTCAAAGCAGTGTCCAAACAGTGCAACAAGTTATTCAAGTATGAAAAATACAGAATGTTCTGTTTTGCTACAAGTGAATTTCAGGCTCAGCATTTGCACCAATTGAAAGGTCTGACTGGTAGAACTCCAGAAACAAAGAGACTCAAGTGGAAAGGAACACAGGAGCTTGGCAAATTAATCATTTATTTCCTCACATTTCAGTAATGCCTTTTCACTGCCAGTCACAGGGAATGGAAGACAGCTACAATCCCTTACCACAGCATTGGTCAGCATATAAAAATCTAAGGTTTCCGATTAGCCCCTTCTCTAGTCCTCCTATTGCTGAGAATACTACAAGCTTTCCACAACTTCTGCAACTCATAAGAGTTTCTTTAAAACAATATGAACTCTTCACAATAATTATTTTAATAATGTAAATATACTAGACAGAAAGAGGGCTCAATTCTTTAAAACAAGAAGTTTCACCCTTCATTTACAAAAACAGTTTCCTGATAGTAAATATGCAAATACGCCTTCTGAGATTTTTCTGTGAAGTAGGCTACAGGATTAAGCCCAGGGAAAACTCTTTAATATTTTAAAACTTTTTTAAACCTTTAAAATGTGCTCAACAGCACATTTAAGATGCAGAACAGTCTTACTTCACTAGCAACTATCAAGTTTCAAATAATTTGCTTCTTCCCGATATTTACTTTTACTACAGTTGTCAGGAAGCTTTAATGATATTTACTTAGTTTAGTCCCATGAGAATTGCTATAGCTTTTTAATAACTTTAACATAGCAGTATTTATATATCAGAGTGGTTGCAGTTTGATATGAAGTATTTTTTATACATTATCTGTAGCTAGGTGTCTTGTTTCAAGTAGTAAAGAAAATCATGAACACAAAGTGATCAGAGATGTCTCTAACATTTGTTAAAGGTCTCACTTATAATTTTCTAAAATTTCAGAAAACTAGCTTTGTTCACACTTGTTCTGCTCACAAAGAAGTAAAATTCCTTGTGATAGGTTCTCAACAATACCAAGCAAAGTATTAACAGGTAGGACAATAGTCATACACAGAAAGAAGAATTGAATTTACTCAACTGGTAAAGGAGATCTCTAGCCATACAGTACTCCTCAGGAAGCAGCCTAGGTTCAACAGATGCTCTTCCTTCAGTGGCTGGCCCTTATGTGAGCCCAGGTTGCCTTGACCAACAAGGCTTGTTTTATTTTTTTATATAAATAACTGGGAATAATTTTCAAATTATTCACAAGATCCAAAGTTTAGTGACTTTCTAGAATATTCCTAGTTACAACAGGAAGGTTTACATTAAAAAAAAATAAATAAATGTAAGTAATAAAGTTTCTCAGATTTCCCAGAGATTTGCACCTAACATTAGCTAAATATTTCTCCCTCTCTCTTCTTCCCACTCCTTACTTACATGCAACCATAATGGCAAACATGTATTCACTAGCTAGCTGGCCATTATGTTCTTCTTGCACTTCTTCACTTGGGGGCAATAATTTAGACCTACATCCTCTACTTAACTGTCAATTTTCATAACAAGCCCACAGAACTCAGTTTTCTTTATGACCTATGACTGATGGAATGAACTAACAGGTTTAAAAAGCTGTCATCAAAGAGGGGGATGATGAAAAGATGGGTAGACTGACAGCATGATCACACTTAAATTTGAAAGTTTACATTGCCTTCTTAAATCTGCAGCATTGACCATGTTCTCAGTTTTAGAAATATGAACTAACTCAAGCAGTAGAGACTTGTTGAACTTAATGGTGTTCTAGACTAAGAATATAATTCATAGAAACCTTAGAGTTAGAAGGGACCTCTGAAGGCCACCTAGTCCCCTGCAATGAACAGGGACGTCCACAGCTAGATCAAGTTGCCCAGGGCCTTATCCAGCCTTGCCTTAAAAGTCTCCAGGGACAGGGCATCACTGGGCAACCTGTTCCAGTGTCTCACCACCCTCACTGGAAAAGATGATGTTTTCCTTATATCTAACCTTAATCTACTCTCTTTAAGCTTGAAGCCATTTCCCCTTGTTCTATCACCACAGACCCTGCTAAAGGGTCTGTCCCCTTCTTTCCTGTAGCACCCCTTTAGATACTGAAAGGCTGTTATCAGGTCACCTCGCAGCCTTCTCTTCTCCAGGCTGAAGAATACAAGTTCAAGTTCACTGCTGTCCTCATCTTGCACCAGGGAAGCTCTAATCAGGCTTCTCCAGCCAAGCAAACTCTCTGTACGTGCTAGAGCATCAGCATTTGACATTAAAAGGGTGGATTTTTTTATTTTTTAATTAAGAAAACAGCTGAGACAACTGTGCTTTCACTTTGGAAAACAAACATGAAGTTAACACTCTCCATTATACCGATTTGACAGCTCAACAAAGAAGGAAGCCTCATGAAGTAGTATATATCAAAAGGAGAATTAACAGCTCACTGTTCCAAACTCAGAGATGGTCTAGTTCAGGGTTCGTACAGTACATACTATGCATGCCCTGCACTTCATAGACAAGAGTCTAACATTTCAGTCCAATCTGTTTCATACAGATTTTTAAGGCAACTTTTGAGGATAGAGTAATAGTTTTAATACTACTTAAGCTCTATTATATAAGGTATATACACAATTATTGAAGTTATTAAATAAAGCTATCTGTAGAAGTATGGCCAGTCCTCCTAAATATGGCCTGCTTGCTCACTAGAAACCCTGGGCACAAAATTAAAAGGTAAAGCAGTTCTAATAAAATATAAGAGAATACATAGTCAAGGATTAAAATGACAAAGTGCTTACCTTGACTCTCCACTACTGTTTCTTATACTTTCTTCATCACTGGGCGCATTCATTGTAACTGTTAAGAAGTTTAAAAGATAAATAAAAGTCACTTAGGTTACAAGGTAGATATCAAGAATCCACTTCCCAGTGCTCTGTGTTTTCCAGGTAGTGTGTTTACTCAACAGTTCTCTGCACACATTGAATTTTTTTTCCCCAAATTACCTGAAGTTGTAAAGGAAAATGTTGACAATTTGAAATATTTGGTGGTTGCAACTGAAAGATACTGAAAATAACCTGCCCCATCATACTAATATAGGGTGTATCTCACATTTTACACCTTTTTAACTTTAAAAATAAATTTTGGTATGCTACATTGAAAAACTGAAATAACTAAATGAAATACATGAAATACACAAAAGGAAAGACTTGTTTAGCTTTTTGCCCAACTGCAATCAGGTCCCAGCACACAGGCCATTATGTCCTTTATGCAACTTTGGTGCTATAAAAGTGACAAGTTCTGCTGACCTGCTGCTAGTCTTGGTCTGCCAACAGACCAGCTTTGAAAATATTATTCTCTTAACTATTTTAGGTTGAGAAGAATGATTTACTGTGTAGCTGCACTATAACTAGTAGCATGACTTTTGCTATAGTACTATCTCAAGAACAACCAGATCTAAATTTTGAAGGAAAACAGTCTCTCCAAAAGCATAAATATAAACTAAGGACATTAACGCTTTAAGATCTGACTAGTTAAATTATTTCATGTACAAAACAAACACATTAGAAGCATTTCCAGACGTAGACATAATATTTACATGCAGTTGGGTGCAGAGGCAGGATAATAAAGACTATTCCATTTATTTAAAAAAATGTCTCAACTACACCAAGCTAACAAGATCCCACAGATGGAATGACTGTCATTTCACACAAACACCTTCAATCAGATCACTACAGTGTCAGATGCACCTCGAAAAAGTTTAGGCTCATTTTAAATGGAATACAAGTATGAACTCGCTGATAATCTGCTAAAGAGCAGCATCTCTCACAGATTTAGTGGCATGAAAGTAATTAGCGGTTCATCTGCCTCGAAATGCTCTCTTATAAACACTCCAGACTCGCAGCTTATGATGGGGGTGAGGGCTACCTCCTTTTGGGGGTGGAAAAAGCCCTGTGCTCAGGCACTACCTCAGCCAAAAACACCACTCAAGTCAGCAGAGGCAATGACGGAAGAAAAGTTACAGGAAGAAGCCCTGTAACCCCGGAGAGACCACAAAGCGAGGCCGGGGCCCCAACGGCGGCGAGCCAGGCAGTTTAGTGGTTCCTCGAGGACAGGCCGCTTGTGCCCAATTAGGCCTAACTTCCCACTATTTGTCCTCCCACACCCAGGACGCGGACAAACACCTTAACTTCTCCATGTCTGGTACCCTAGGAAATACATTTTTAGCACCACAGAAGTCGCTCCTTGTCTCCTGCTCACTGCTCCACAGCAATCTTTCCCGTGTCCCGACTGCCCGCACCGCACTCTCGCAGTCTCTTGTGACTGACCACTACCAATACGCTCCCAGGAGAAACCTAGGCCAGGGCTGCCTCCCTACCCCCCGCCACCAGAGACAGCCCTCCGCTGATAGTGTGACCTGCATAGGCGCTGTTCCTGGTCAGGACTCCCAGAGTCACCAAGGCATCCGCTGTCCTCCATGTTCGCTTCCCCCAGCATCCCCATTGCCAGAGAAAAGCGAATGCCGCACTCATACCTCCCAGCCGGCTCATCACAGGCTCCCCCAATAAGAGCCAACTAAAACAACTCGATCCCAGATGCCCGCCTCGGCTCTCGCAGCTCCCCCCCCCCCCCCGTCGGAAAACAGTCAGCGGGCCCAGAAGCCTAGACCCACAGTAGGCATCCATTCCCCTGCCCTCAGTACCAGCCACCTCCCCATCCATATTCGAAAGCCACCGCATAACTCCGAACCAGAAAGAGAGAGGAACCATGACGGGCCTCTGCTTACCTGCGTGCGTGCGTGCGTCTCCCAGTCCGAGACAGCACTACCCTCCACAAAGACGTCTGTGCTAAAGTCGGAAGATTGCTTCCACGAAACAGCCGCAAGACCTGAGCAGCGGGCTCCTCTGCAGCCCCCACCGGTTCAAACAATAGAGTGAGTCCGTCCCCCCCCCAGCCCCCCAACCAACCAGGCAGAGGCAAGGAGGAGCCTAGGGAATAACAGTAAGCTCTACGTTGTTCCGTCGTTACTTCTCAAGTCCTTCCGACTGTCGCCATCATGCTGCCGCTCTGCTCAACCTCCCCCTCTTCTCTCAATCAGATGGATATCCTGCGTGTGATATCAATCCTACACCCTGGGACTGAGCAGGAAGGAGTACCGACGGTTGGGAGGGAAGAACGCCGCTGGGCTATGGCGGCCGGAAGTGCCTAAGCTGTCTTTTTGCAACACTGGATGCTAGCAGAACTGAGGGCAGCAGTCATCCGACCACCCCACTAACAGTGCTGCTCCCGGTACCCTTTGTAATTCCCATCTGAGGGAGCGGAGTGCGGTCTGGCCTGAGGGTGCCTAATGAGCTTCAGGGAGAGTAGACCGCGTGTTGCCGTTTAGTGTTGTTTGTTTGTTTCAGGGTTTTCCTGTGTAAAATCTGAGTTCCCTAACGATTTGAAGTAAATATGCAAAATACTTTAGTAGTGTATTTTTAGAAATAATAGCCGTTGAGTTGTTGTATTATGTAATTAGTTCTTGTTTGCAAAACTGTAGTAGCTTTTAAATGTTGTGAATTGTCATCTGAAACTTGAGAATAAACTCATTAACTCCAATGTACTGTTAGTGAGTAGGCATTCTTTACTTATAACGACAGATGTGCAAGGGGATATCTCCACCCTAACTGCACATACCTTGAAAAAAAGACCTTCAGGTTATATACATTATTTGTGTTACATATGCAAAAGGTTTCCCGGTCAGTATATACATATTCAGTATTCGCCCTGAAATAATTAACATAGGGTCTAAATCACAGCTTGAACCAATGATTGAGCACCTCATAGGAAGGCAGGACTAACCCAAGGGAGCTCGGGTGCATGCAATACACCCAAGTGACTGGAAGGGGTAGAGCCAGGATCCATCCCTTCCCAGACCTCAATTAAGGGTTGGCAGTGGAGGTAAAGGTATCTTGATAGAGATCCCTGTGTACCTAGGGGCCTTTCAGGCCTTCTGAAGGTAAGTAGCTTCTTTTCCTTATTACTGCATCTACTACTGTCATATTTGAATGGATTTTCACTTGCTGTGAGCTGGGATCTTGCTGCTCTGCTGTCTTGTGCTTTCCATTGTGTTATACTTGACAAGCCAACCAGGAATAACAGCAATATACAAACAGAATGAATTATCTTAAAGAATTAATACATTAGTTTGTCACTCAGACCTCTAATACCCCAAAGAAGGAACTCCTGGGGGAGTTTCGAACTCCATGGTTTTGCAGATTCCTCATGGCTAAATGTTGCTCAGACTATTGAAGAAAGGGGACCCATAAGGGACAATAGTCTCACTATCAAATCCCCTTCTAAGACAAGCAGTATTTCTGAATAAATTGGCGTCACTGGTTTTAGGCAGGTTTTCAGCTGGTTCCATGACTAATGAGGTAAAGGGACCCACAGACCCATGCCCCAGGGTAGGGGGAAAAAGGAAAAGAGGAAAAATGTGGGGAGATAGACCTAAAAAGAAAACAGCAGTAATGAGCTAAGGGAGAAAACTAATTTACTAAATATGATAGCAGAATGCAAAGTAACACAATATAATACAGTATATTGGAAACGAAACTAATAAATTAAATAAAATGAGAGCGTGTCCAAAACCAAAGGCCTCACTCTAATGCTGAAGGTGAAATGGCTAGAGAGCTATAGTGGAAATGCAAAGTCAAGGCTTGAAATAGTGATTGAGCACCTGGTAGAAAGACAAGGTCATCCCTGGGAGCTCAGGTGAATGAAATGCACCTGAGTGGAAAGGGTGGAGCCAGGATCCACCCCTTCCCAGACCCCATATAAGGGTTGGTAGTGGAGGTAAAAGTATCGTCAGAGATTTCTGCGTATTTGAGTGTGTCTGGAGGTAAGCAGCTTCTTTCCTTTATTTCTGGGCCCATGACTGTTGTATTTCAGTTGATTCTTACTTGCTTTAGCCTGGGACCTTGCTGCTCTGCTGTAGTTGCTGTGCTTTCCCTTGCATTACAGGAGCAAGCGCAGTGGTGATGAGCAGTAAAAGAAGGAGCAGACTTCTGACTTAAGAGTTATATCTTTCCCTCTAAATAATAATAATGCAACTGTGAAGTTTTTTTGGGATATGTAGTTCTTCTCTTCTAAACATAGGTACTCAAAAATATAGTCAATCCACAAAACTGCAGCATTAACTCTTTAACTCTCAGTGCAATACATGATGTTATGATGTGGAATACTGATTTAAAAAAAAACACAAAACATAACATTCCACCCCTTATTCCACATCACTACATTGTGGATAATAGGTATACGAACAACAATAAACGTGCGCACACACACACATACATATATATATGGAAACACTATATGATTGCTCTCAACACCAAATTGGTTTGTGGCACACACTGAACATGCCTGTATTACTGCATCACTCAGCAAGTGGACTCAGGTCCCTGAGCAAAAACAATTCTATGAAGAGGTTTGCCCTTTCCAGGTGCAGAAAAGACCCTACCTGCTTGTCAACGGTTTACGGGCTGGTCCGGCCTGGTTCCGTGACTAGTGGGGTGGAGGGATTTTGCAAAATCTGCTCATCCGGAAAAGGGAAACAGGAGATCCCAAAATAATTAAAAACAGCAATAATGATTGGAGGTGAAACAAACTAATTTACTAAACATAATATTGGAATGCAAGATAACAGGCCATAATAAAACATAAGTAGAATTGAAGCTAATAAATAAAATATAACGAGAGAGAATGTCCGAAAGGTGGATAGGCCTCACCATAATGATGAGGTGAGATGAGCAGTTGGGTTGAGCAGCAGGAAGAAGAGCACGTCAGGTGTCCTTGCCAGGGGCTATATTTCCTCTCTGATCCCAAAGCCCCCTGGGGAATGTAGTTCTTCTTCTCTTCTGGACAGGTACCTGGAACTGGAGCATTAACACCTTAACTCCCAGTGCACTACATGATGTTATGATGTGGAATAACGAAAACCAAAAATCATAAAACCATGACATTCTACCCATTATTCTACATCATGCTTAACATATACAAACAATAATTACCAAGCATTAAACACATGCACACAAACCTATCTATCTATCTATATATACACACACACACACACAGGGAATTACTGACTGCACTCCCCCAACATCAAATTCCCTTGTGCTACACACTCAATGTCCTCGTTTTGCTGCATCACCCATCAAGTGGTCCCAGGTTCCTGGGCAAAAACACTTTGACGAAAAGGTTTGCCCTTTCCAGAAGCTGGAGGAACCCAAACTGCTTTTCCCAACATGCTCTTTACATGTACAACAGGGACCTTATCTCCCTTGACAGTATGTAGGGAGCTAGCAGGACCATCACGATTGATAGATCCTCTGGTGTTGACTAACCAGGTGGCTTCTGCTAAATGCTTCTCCCAGTGCTTAAATGTTCCGCCACCCGTTGCTTCCAACATGGTTTTTAACAACCCATTGTATCGTTCAATTTTGCCAGAAGCTGGTGTGTGGTAGGGGATATGATAAATCCACTCAATGCCATGATCTTTGGCCCAAGTATTTACAAGAGAATTTTTGAAATGAGTCCCATTATCTGACTCAATTCTTTCTGGGGTGCCATGTCGCCAAAGGACTTGTTTCTCCAGACCCAGTATGGTGTTTCGGGCGGAAGCATGGGGTACTGCATATGTTTCAAGCCACCCAGTGGTTGCCTCTACCATAGTAAGCACATAACACTTACCACTGTGAGATCGTGGCAAGGTGATATAATCAACCTGCCACACCTCCCCATATTTATACTTCTGCCATCGCCCTTCCTCCCAGAGTGGTTTCATCCTCTTGGCTTGTTTGATTGTGGTGCATGTGTCACAGTCATGGATAACCTGTGAAATAGCATACATAGTTAAGTCCACCCCTCGGTCTCTAGCCCACTTATATGTTGCATCTCTTCCTTGATAGACCGAGGTCTCATGGGCCCAACAAGCTAGAAATAATTCACCCTTGTTCTGCCAGCCCAGGTCTATTTGAGCCACCTCAATTTTGGCAGCTCGATCTACCTGATGGTTATCTTTAGTAGCCCGACTCTTGGGCACATGAACATCTACATGGCGCATGTTTACAACCGTGTTCTTTATTTGGGCAGCAATATCTTTCCACAGTTCAGCAGCCCAAATAGGTTTACCCCTTCTTTGCCAGTTATTTTGCTCCCACTGCTTTAACCACCTCCATAAGGCATTTGCCACCATCCATGAGTCAGTGCAAAGATAAAGCATTGGTCACCTCTCCTGTTCAGCAACATCCAAGGCCAGCTGGACAGCCTTTACCTCTGCAAATTGGCTTGATTGTCCTTTCCCTTCAGTGGCCTCTGCAACTTGTCGTGTGGGGCTCCACACAGCAGCTTTCCATCTGCAATGCTTCCCCGCAATACAACACGAACCATCAGTGAACAGCGCATATGTCTTTTCATTTTCTGGTAGGTCATTGTATGGTGAGGCCTCTTTAGCATGTGATACTACTTCTGCTGGTGATGTTCCAAACTTTTTGTCTTCAGGCCAGTCCATGATCACCTCTAGGATTCCTGGACAGCTGAGATTCCCCATCTGTGCTCGTTGTGTAATCAGCACAATCCACTTACTCCAAGTGGCATCAGTAGTATGATGGGTGGAGGGAACCTTTCCCTTGAACGTCCAGTTCCGCACTGGCAGTCGAGGTGCCAGAAGGAGCTGTGTTTCAGTACCGACTACTTCAGAAGCAGCGTGAACCCCCTCATACGCGGCTAAGGTCTCCTTTTCAGTTGGTGTAACGCTCTTCTGACCCTCTGTACGCCCGACTCCAGAATCCCAGGGGTCGGCCTCGGGTCTCTCCTGAGGCTTTTTGCCACAAACTCCAAGTGGGACCTTTCTGTCCAGCAGCAGTGTAGAGGATGTTCTTTACATCTTGTTTCATCCGTACTGGCCCCAGGGCCACAGCACAGGCTTTCTCCTGTTTAATCTGCTCAAAAGCCTGCTGCTGTTCAGGACCCCATGCAAAATTGTTCTTCTTTCGCATCACCTGATAGAGGGGGGTAACTATGAGGCTGTGGTTTAGAACATGCATTCTCCAAAAACCTACTACACCCAG